TTTGTGCCTTTGAAAATTCCCCCTATAAGTACAATATTAGTACAAGTAATTTTTTATTTTTATTTTTTGTGGTGGATTTAGGTATTCGATAAGGAAGCCCATGTTCTGTCACCCAACCACAAATGAGGATCTTTCTCGAAAGATTCTGTAAAGCCCCAATGCATTTGAATGTACTAGGACAGTGAGTGAACTCAGAAAATAATCGTCCTTGCCTTTCCTCCCGCCTGGACACACATTTTCCAAGATAATTTCCCCGCTTCTGCTCTCAGTGGAATAACAGCAGCAAGGCAGCACACCCCTGTGGCTAGAGCAAAGGTGGGCAAACTACGGCGGCCCGCGGGACCCTCGTGCCCGGCCCCAGAGCTCCTGCCCCAGGAGGCTAGCCCCCGGCTCCTCCCCCACTGATCCCCTTCTCCCACAGCCTTAGCTCACTGTGCTGCCGGTGCAATGCTCTGGGTAGCGGGGCTGCGAGTTCCTGGGGCAGCGCAGCTGCAAAGCTGTGGCCTGACCCGGTGCTATGAGCTGCACTGTGGCATGCCTGGCTCCAGCCGGGTGACGCAGCTGCCTGTCCTGGTGCTCTGGGCAGTGCGGCTGTAGCGCCGCCAGCCACCAGTGCTCCTGGCAGCGTGGTAAGGGGGCAGGGAGCAGGGGAGGTTGGATAGAGGGCAGGGGAGTTTGGGGTGATGGTCGGGGGCAGGGGTGTGGATAGGGGTCAGGGCAGTCAGAGGGGGGTTGAATGGGGGCAGGGGTCCCCGGGGGGGGCAGTCAGGAATGAGAGGAGGGGTTGGATGGGGCAGCTGGGGACAGTCAGGGGCGGGGGTTCCAGGGGTGGTCAAGGGACAGGAAGCGGGGGGGGGGGGTAGATGGGAGCAGGAGTCCTGGGGAGGGGCTGTCAGGGGGCAAGAAGCGGAGGGGGGGGGTCGAATGGGGGCGGGGGCCGGGCCACGCCTGGCTGTTTGGGGAGGCACAGCCTCCTTTACCCGGCCCTCCATACAATTTCCGAAACCCGATATGGCCCTCAGGCCAAAAAGTTTGCCCACCCCTGGGCCAGAGCCTTCCTTTGAGAGAAGCTAGAGGGCACCCAAGAATGATTAAGTTGTTCCACTGAGCTCACTATCCCACTTTGGCCAAGATGCACCGTGCCCAGCCCCCAACCAGTCAGGTCATAGGGCCATTGTTACCAGAAACTAACAAGGATTGTTAAAAGAAATCATTTTGCTACCACCATGTAGACTGGCTTCAAAATGGATCTGTCAATTTCGCATTTACACAATTAAATTTCAGAGGATTCAGATGGCAAACAGAAAAAGGAGCTTTTCTGAGTTTCGTGTCCGTTGGCATAATTGGAGACCGCAGTTTCTATCTCTGACATCCATGTTTTCTGTAAGAGGAAAAATAATGCTTGATAAACCCTAAGGACCTAAAAAAGTTTTAATAACTAAAATACCTGAACTTTAGAGTCTTGAATCTATAAAAATACATTGTACAGTGTTTGATGGGGCACCTTCTCAAAGCTTACTTCTAGAAGAGAAGGTTGATTTATGTCCATAAATTGTTCCATAAACCAGGGATCCAGATTCTCCAGTCTGGCTCAGGGCATATTACGCTCCATAAGCTGTGCAAAGTGGCCTTAAAACAACCAAGATCTCTGTGGATAGCAAAACTCTCTGCCGCCTCCTGCACCAGCCATCTCCTCACTCCCATCATCCGAGGAGGAACATGGGTAAGAGGTGGAGCTTCAAAACCCATGATTCTTCATTGGAGTAAGGTCTGTTACAGACCTTATGCCGGAGTAGGCCCCCTGCTATCCCCATTTATTCCAAGGCCATTCACTCAAGTATTCACACAGTGGAGAATCAGGGCCCGGGTTTTGTTTAGTAACACAAATAACTTTTCTATGATCCAAAAATAGGAACTTTTCACTGTTGATTAGCCTACATGTGCAAAGAGTGGAGCATAGGTTACAATATCAAGCAGATAAAGGGCAGAACAAAATTGAACCACAATTTCAGTTCAGTTCAGTTCAACTACCATGCAGTCTCTAGCTTTCCCATAGAAAACATGATTGAGAAGCCATGGTGTAATATTCCCAGCTGGGCTTCTAACTGCGCTGTAGTGCAGAGATGACACTGGTCATATCTGTGGATGGTGTCTTGGGCAACAGACAGTCTTCCTTGTTAATACTGTTACTCTGTCTATCCTAGCACTTGTGTCAGTAAAATGTATGTCACTCAGAGGTGTGAAAAAAACATCCCGGAGAGACCTAAGTTGCACCGACTAAAGCGCTGGTGTGGACAACGCTATGTCAATGGGAGATGCTCTCCCGCTGATATAGCTGCTGCCACTCGTTGGGGGTGATTTAATTATGCCAGCGGAAGAGCTGTCTCCTGCTGGCATAAAGTAGCTACACTGGAGACCTTACAGCAACACAGCTGCAGTGGTACAGCTGTGCCACTGTAAGGTCTCTAGTGTAGACATGGCCTTAGATCAGTCAGCTGTCAGAGCAGTTGGTCACGAGATACTGCTTGTGTGCTTATGACATCCGATGAGCATTGACAGACATACTAAGATAGCACCAATTTTTTTGTTGGATCACAGAGGGTTGTTACAGGCAGCTGCTGCTGCTCTCAGAGAGCTCTTCTATGTGGTGTCCAAGGTTCGATCTCATCTTCCTTCCTCCATGATATATGTGTCAGACCTCTAGAAGAAGTAAACCCCTGTGGCCTTCAGTGCTACAAGTATACTGATGGCCCCCAGATCTACATTCTCTTATCCTCAAAAGCAGATCACTTCCTCGGGTTGCAAAGCCTTGTGAGAGAAACACCTAGGTGAAAATCACCTGGCTAAAACTCAATCTGGGCAGCACAGAAGTGTTGCTGGTTGGGAAGAGAGCAGTGCTCTGAAGATCCATAATGGAGAGCATTGGTGGTGCAGATGGTGTGAGTCTCAGGGACCTAATGGACTCCTCACTGCTCCAGGACACCAAATGAAAAGTAATACTCAGAAATGTCTCTTCCCACCTGAATGGCCAGGAGGCTAATAGCTGAGCTCCTGTGTCCTATCAGATACAGAGCTAACCATGACTGTCTGCGTCATCATCTCCAGAGTCAGATGGTGTAGCACTGTATTCAGGGAAGACATTAGGGGCAAAAAAAACTGTTTTTAAGGATGTTTTCTCACTGAATGAATTAAATAAACCTGTTTTAAAAATAGAAAGATAGAAAAACAACTGCAGTCATGTGCCACTCTAAGGAACCCGCATATAAGTCATGAACAATGTTTGAATACTGGATCTTTTCTATTTCTAGCACAGACCTCTCTCTAACTTTTCATCTAAGGGAGTAACGGTTATCTTGTCTGTGGAGCAGCCAGAGTGGGGGAGGAGGGTGACAGACGTACTTTGAAGTGGGTGATCATGCCAGGAGACACCTCTCATGAGCGCCTCCTGTCAGGTGTGAACCTGCACTCTCTTTCTCTCTCTCTCTCTCTCTCTGCTCCCAGCGCCCCCTGACAGCTTGTTAATCTTCAATGGCCCAGCCCTCTGGCCAGGTCACACACAATCAATATGTGAACAAACAAATAAACTCTTTCCGGGGTAAAAAAATAAGTCCAACAGGGCCTACCATTGAGCCCTGGTTGGTATCTGCAGCCTTGTCACTAGGCTCAGTTCTCAGCCCTTCTGGGCTAGCTTTAGGCCCATCTCTGCCCTGGTATGGAGCAGTGCCCGCAGGGCTGTCTCCCTGGGGACTCTTTGCCTTATCAGTGCTTCTTGACCCAGCTTTCCAGCCAGGTTACTCCTTCAAGGTCAGTCCCCTTCTACGGGTAACAGTTCAACAAAGGGTTGGTGCTCTACAGAGTCGTCAGTCATGTCCTTGAGCCCTTTAAATTCTAGCTTTGTGCTTGGGCTTCTACATGAAACTTGTCCCCTTCTCGGGCCTTTGGCCACTCCGCCAGGTCACAACGCAGGGCCCCAACAAATAGCAACCACGTGCTGCTTCCTTTAACTCTTTTGCTATTGCCGTTCCTTGAGCCATTTCCCACGTAACCCCTTCCTCTTCACCCTTACCTCAGGGCTGAAGTTCTCAACTCCCTTCCTTCCTCACGGAATGCCAGTGCCACCAGAACCTGTCTTTTGGTTCTCACTTGAGCACCAGCAAGAGACACCTTCCTTACACCTCTGGTCCTGCCAGAAACTGACCTGCTCAGCCCTGCAGCTCCTTTTAACTGTGCTGGCTTCACTCTGGCCGCTTCCCTGCAGTCTCTCTAGGCAGACCTGGAGGACCCACCTTCACTGCTCCTTTTCCACAAGCAGGGTGTGGCAGGGCCACAAAGTCTCCAACAGAAGGCCCTGGTACACCCCGTCACAGTGATACAGCTGTGTTCTATGCAATAGTGAAATGTTGGGTTCAGGATTCTTGGGCTCAATTCCTAGCTCTAGGAGGAAGGGTGTGATCTCGTGGTATGGGTCAGAAAAGCCTTTTCGATGGGCTGTACAGCTGTGTGAATGAGACTTAGATCTGCCATATTAGAGACTTGGATTCTACTCCTAGCTCTGCCAAAGTGACTTTGTGCAATTTTTCAGTTAACTTATCTCTCACGCTCTCATATGTCTGCTGAATGTTGTCTGACTGCGCTATGCAGCGGTACAGGGAGCCTGATTTAGCTCTAATATGGAACATCCCGCAAAATCCAGTAAATCTAAGAGCAGTTCTCAGCTGCTTCAGGATGCAGTAGCCTTTTCTGAATAGGACAAGTCAATGAGAACATATCATTGGTGCTCCATGCAATGTACTGGCTCTCTTTGAAGTGCCCCATCTACTTCAAGATCCTGATCTACAAAGTTGTCAGAGGATCGCAGACAGTGTTTTTATTCTTAGACCCACAACACCAGCTGGAAACATCAGGGCCCCTTGGCTGAACTAGTCGAAAATTGTGCTGATTGTGAAGTGCAAAATGAGGCTAGCTCATTTCATGTAGGCCCTCAAAATACTGTCCAATGCGATATAGCTTTTTACAGTAATGTGGAACTGAAAGACAATGTGTCGTTGCATTATTATTAACCTATAATGCAGATACTGTTTAATATCAGGATTTTAGTGCTCAATCGTATGTTGCAGGACTCGGAGAAGATGGAAGTAAACTGGAACACTGCCAATGTTGGAGGGCAAAGTATTGTAGCAAGATTGTAACTACTTTCAGAACCTATTTCAGATGTGAGCCAGTGACTTAGGGCTGGTCCACACTGGGGCGGGGGATCGATATAGGAAACGCAACTTCAGCTACGAGAATAGCGTAGCTGAAGTCGACGTTTCCTATATCAAACTAAAAGTACCTACTTCGGGTCCACGCGGCGCAGGCAGGCTCCTCCGTCGACAGCGCTTCCTCCTCTCGGCGAGCAGGAATTCCGCAGTCGACGGGGGAGCGCTTCTGGGATCGATCTATCGCGTCCAGATGAGACGCGATAAATCGATCCCAGAAGATCGATCTCTACCCGCCGAATTAGGCGGGTAGTGTGGACCAGCCCTTAGAAGTAGAAAGGGTATATTTATTGCCTTGCCCTGGGGGCCGGAGCACTTTGTCTACCATGTTCTGTATTTTTAAGAATTAGTGTTATTTGAAAGTCTCATTTTGTTCTTCTAGGTGCTAATGAATGAAATACAACTTATAGAACCAATCTGTTATGTTCCATGAAATGCCTAGCCCACATTTAGATGCTGCAAATAAATAATAAAATGTACCGGTCTATTACTCAAAATTCAGGATGGTGTGCAGATGAAGGGGAATTTACATACTCTTGGAATCAAACTCACTTTCTTGGAGATAGATACGTTTTCATACCATACCCACTGGTATGAAATTACAATAGTTTTATAAATGTATATAATAATATATATGCAAAAATTATAATACACATTTTCAAAGTGTGGTGTGGGATAATTAGACCGACAATGTCAAAGTTTTATGGTCTTAAAAGTATTACATAAAAATTGTTTTAGTTTTTGGGAATGGCTCAGTTTCTTGATTCCTGTTATGCAGGAATTGAACTTTAATAAGTCAGAATTTGAAAAGCTAGTATGTGACCTGCTGGAGGTCCTCACTTAAAATCAGTACATGAGTACTGTAATTACAAACTCTATAACAGTGGAAGATTTGTTTAGGGAAGAGAGTAAATCAGGTCATATTTCTGTCAGATATAGTTGCTTAAGTAAAATTCTCTTTAGGAGAGATCTTTCCTTCGATAAATGTAATTTTAAAAAGGTCTTGTAAAATACAGGACTTACTTTGACCGTCTCTGTTTGTGCTTGTAGTAAGAAGACTCCGATGCACTGTTGATATCTATTTTCATGTTGTATTACAAAAGCATTTCGCAGCCCAAGGACTATAAAACAAAACAAAGCAAATGAAAGAACACACACAAGGTAAGCCACCTTATCAAAATCCCATCAGATTGATTCACTATATATCAATCATATCTTTGCGTCTCCTTGGAAAATCAGCTTTTCTGATTGCTTATTAGGGAAACACATGCTGGCAGTTTGAATTTTATGTTATGAAAAAAATAGCCTCAAATTATTTCAAAAAGTTGGTTCTGCAATTAGCTGCTTTTGAGTCTTGTTCAGGGGGGAAATGCTCTAAAGAGACATGCTATGTGCTGTATTGAAAATACTTGGGGAGATTCTGTGCTGAGCCCAAGAGACAAAGCAAAGAACTTGCAGCCCAGGAGAAAGGGGTGGGTCCATGGTAGCTTTAAACCACCTGTGCACCATCCTGACACTGGGATGCTCCCGTGGCTGGAGAGGTCCCAGGTGTAACTTAAACAGCCTGTGTGAGTTATGGCTGCCCTATAGACTCCTTACTTAGACGTAGAGTCTCCTGTGCCTAGTGGCACATAAGGCAACCCATTTTTCCCAGTGCTGTCTGTCCAGAGCAAGATGTTTGACTCCATCAGATGTTGCCATAGTGGAGATAACTTCCTGTTTGATCATCCTGCGATAGGTCATTCTTTGTCCTGCACGGCTTCTCTTCCCACCAGTGGAAGCCAACCTAAGATGCATCTTGTCCTTCTGCCCTGGGGTAGCCTGATGACCTGGCTGAACCACCGTAACCATCTCTGTCTGATTATTCAGTCCCCAGTGTGTTAACGAAGTTTCGTCTTAAAAAGCACTGCTGAAATTCATTCAGCTTTCTCTTGTACCTTTCCACCATCTGCCACGTTTCCAAGGTGTACAATTGTGTGGGAGGACAATAGCATTACACAATCTCATTTTAGTGTGTAGATGTATCTTCTTACTCTTCCAGATATTTGACAAATGGGAAAATAATCCACTGGCTTTGCTGATTCTTCCTTCACTTCTTTAGCGAGCTGACCATTAGCAGATATTGTACTTCCAAGAAGGCTGAAGTCCTTAATTCTTTCTTACTCTTTTCCATCAATCACATATCAACCAGTGTTGACAGCATTCTCCCTATCTCCATGACCTTAATCTTCTGTGTACTGATAAGTCCCATTTTGGCAGCTTCTGTTTTTTTGCTCATAAAGAGTCTTTTCGTTCCATCCAAGTTGGTATCCAACATGACTGTATCATCTGCAAAATCTAGGTCTTTCAGCTTATCTCTTGCCCAAATAACACCAGTGATCTGGGCGGCAGCCATTGCTCTTCTCATCACAAAGTCCGTGACAATGCAGAAGAGAAGTGGGGAGAGTATGCAACCTTGCCTTGCACCACCAGTAACAATCAGTGTCTCCATTCTCTGTCCTGACACAGCAGGCACACTCATCATACAAAGCTTTTATCCAATTAAATATGTGAAAACAGGGTCTGAATGAATGCCTCCCTGACAGCTAGCTCGGAAGGGAAGAGACTATGGGTGTGTTATGTAAATACAGTTTTCTCCTGCTCTGTTTACATGTTCATCAGATACAGCTGTGTCAAAGGATCAACTGTGGCTGGTGTTGGGTACAAATTACCTTAGTACTGAATGCAGGGGTAGTGAAATATGGTTATCAATGTTGTAATTATTGTAGGAATACAGGAAAGCAGGACTGTGCTTAACCTGTCCCAAATGGGGGGGGGGGGGCGCCCTCAGTTGAAAGAACCTCATTAAGCAGGGGCTTCAATGTCAGAGCCCTGTGAAAGTAAAAGGGGTGGGGATAGGAGTCCCGGTGTCCTGGTCAGGAGGCTGCACAACCCCCCTTCCCATCCCCCCCAGGGTCCTCTCTAGACTGGCTTAACCTGTTCTTCCCCCCTTTCAAAGAATAGAGCTAAATAGGCTTCATTAGAAGCCTCTCTTGTTATTTTAATTGTTCAATCAGAGCTGAAACCACTTGTGGTAGGACTGTGTTTCTGCCCTGCTGAGGGCTAAAATCATGAGAGCTGAAATCACTTGAGAGGGGGCAGTGTTTCTGCCCAGCCTGCAAAAGAGCTGAAAATCACTGAGACACTGATGTGCAGACGTCACAGCAGAGGCAGAAGGTGACTGACAGTCAGCTGGCGAATGAGTGACCAGCAGGGCGGCGGCGAAGAGGTGTGATGAGCAGCCAGCAGGGCGGCGGTGGAGAGGCGTGATGAGCGGCCAGCAGGGTGGCTGGTGGAGACATGTGATGAGTGGCCAGCAGGGCAGCGGCAGAGAGGCGCAATGAGCAGCCAGCAGGGTGGCTGGTGGAGGGGCGCAGCAAGGGCAGTGAGCAGGTGGCCGGTGAGCAGCCAGCAGAGCGAGTAAGATGCCTCTTTACCCCCCACCCATGGTGGGAGGTGAACTCTGCAGATGCACCTCTGAACTCTGGGTCTGCACTGACCAAGGACAACAACTGTGAGTGGGGTGCAGAGAAGGGTCGGGCACGTGAAAGGGACTTTTGGGTTGATGGACTTAAGACCCTGAAGGGAAAAGGACACTGCCCAACTTACTTGGGGATGGGCCTTTTACTCATGGTTTATGTTTATGAACCCTATTTGCGGTGTTTTCCCAAATTAACTCTGAGTTAATTCCTCCTCTTATTAAAAGTTTCTTTTCTACACTTGGACTCTGCTTGCGAGTGGGGAAGTATTGCCCCAGGGATGGTATGTAATTTTCCCAGGTTACTGGGTGGGGACTCGAGCCAGTTCTGTTTTGTATCGATGGAAAGGAACCCCTAGATATTGAACCTGGCCCTGGTTGCTGCTGGCTCCACCTGGTAGAAGGGTTACACATGTTTGCTGAAATTCCACAGAGTTTCACGAACTTCTAGAGAGCTTCTTTATCAAACAGTTTTATAAATTCAATTAAATTGAAAACCATCTTCTGCTGGTATTCTAAGCCTTTCTCAATAAGTTTTGGGAAGGCGGAAACCTGGTCTGAACACCACCCAGTGGGTTGAAATCCACGATGTTCTTCCTAAGTACTTCGGCAATGGCAGTTTTCATCCTATTCAAACTGATAATGCCAAACGCTTTTCCAGGTACAGATAGGAGTGTCACCCCTCTCCAATGAACACAAATAAGCTGGTGCCCCTCTTTAGGGATCATGCAGATAACACCTCTTAGGCTTCAGCACTGCCTGGAATCTCCACAGCACTCCATGTTGTGGTCTGGCCCCCAGCATGCTCCTGACATCAAGGCTTATGATAGGGTCCTCTGAAAGATAGTCTTGTGGTTGTCTTCTTCAGTGCCTGCTCTGGGCAAATCTTCCTCTAATCAGTTAATGGGGCTTTGAGAGACCCTTTATGTTACCCTGGCCCTTTGACCTGGCATAAAGGGGCTGAAGAGGGGTGAAGAGCTTTCATACGTTTCCTTAAGATTTTCCATCAAAACAGAGTGGAATCAATTATAATTGAAGTAAGAAAGTAACTTAGACCTTTTAAAAAGGAAAAGCAAAATGGAAAGGTTTTAAAGGTTGGTGTTCCAAGCAATGTCGCTATGCAGTAAATAAGGGGTTTCCCATGGCCTCCTCCCAACACCTTCTTTGTCCTCACCACCGGACCTTCCTCCTGATGTCCGATAACGCTTGTGCTCCTCAGTCCTCCAGCAGCACACCCTCTCACTCTCAGCTCCTTGTGCCTCTTGTTCCCAGCTCCCCACACTCACTTCCTCTCCTCTGGTTCCCTGACTTGACTGGAGTGAGCCCTTTTATAGCATCAGAGGGGCCTTAATTAGAGTCAGGTGCTTAACTGCCTCACCTGACTCTTAGCAGGTTAATTGGAGTCAGGTGGTCTATTAGCCTGGAGCAGGTCTGCTCTGGTCACTCAGGGAACAGAAAACTACTTATCCAGTGACCAGTATATCTCCCTTCTGCTACTCTGCTGTTCCCAACTGGTCTGGGTCTATCACACTAAGTAGACGGTGTTTGGAAGTTGCAGCTCAGGTTGGAGCACAGGCTATGAAGCCCATCCCCCCCCCAAAGGTTCAGAGCCTGAGCCTCAACTCCAAGTGCTGACTACACAGCTATTTTTAGCATATTCATGTGAGTCTATCGACTGGCCTGGGAGGCTTGCTCCAAAATGCGGTAGACGTATTCTTAAGTGCTCTCAGGTGACATAACTCTTTGTCAGATGCTCTATTCTTTTTCACACTTGAAATTCACAGGGGTGTTGAGATCATAGACGTCGTTGATTTATTGCTGTTACGTAGTAAATTCCTTGCAGACATTACTTCACACAGATGCAGCACTGCCTCTAACGCTGAAGGTTGATTTCAATTCCAAGACAGGACTGCAAGTGCCCTAATTCAATAGAACTCTTGGGCATGGGTTTATCTTTAAGCGTGTCTCTAATACCATCTCTGTTCAGCAAAGCATGTGCTGAATCATCTTGGATTTCAATGCAGAGCACAGCTGTGCTTGGTTTTGTTCCTGTTTTCAGTGGTGTGTACACCAGACATTTCTCTACCCAAATGGCCCACGCTGCACAATCCCCTCTGACTTCAATGGAGCCAGGATTTCATCCCAAATGCTTAGGTCTGAGAAGTTGTTATGGGGACTTTCCCTGGTGCCTTGCATTTTGGGCTGCAGTTTCCCTATTACACCCTTTCTCCCTCCTGGGGTATGTGCTGGGGTAGCATTGCAACACTGAGCCTTGGAGTGGGCCCAATTCTGATTTCATTAATTGTTTTTATTCCCTGCTTCCATTAATGCAAGTGAGATCAGAACCTGGCCCATTTATTTTACATTTAGTACTGCTGGGAGGACAGAGCAAAATTCAATCGGAGAGTGCGGGGTGGGATCACCTCCCTGCAAATGATGCCCCTGGCCTGAGGTTAGCTTTTAAAAGCATATATCCCAGAGGGCAATGCAGAGGTCAGGCTGCCAAGACACGCCAATCATCTCTAAATTTGCTGTATTTGAGGTACCTTTTTGAGAACCATTTAGTTCACACCATTTGCTTTGGAGCTGTGTGCTTTTATGTAG